TCGAATGCCTTGGGAATTATAGGATTAACAAATGATTCTCTGTAAGCTATCTCCAATGTATTTGCATCGCGAAGCATATTAAAAGATAAGGCGAACAATAACGTGCTAAAATAAATACAGAAATTAATTAATTCATTATTATTATACTAAATAATAATGTATACAGTATACCTACAATCGCCGATAGATATCTTGTACCCATAACATGTCATAATGTTTTTTGAGATCAAACTCGCCCTCGAATGGTATTTCGAAGAAAATTTTTGATGGTAGCTGAACACAATCATCAAAAACTGATTCTGGCTTCACCTCAACAGCAAGCACATACTTGTCAATTAGAGGCTTGATACTCTTTTCCCACCTAGGTCGACGCAATGTATTCTGCTTCTCTTTGGCCGATGGCACCATCTAAAAAACGTGCAAGATTATTACTGATTACAATCCAAAGCTGATGGCTAATATAATACATACCTCTTCCCAGAATTTTCTCATTCTTTTTTTATCATCATCCGAAAAGACTTTATTTACTGGATCTACGAGACTTTTTTCGGATAGGTTGACAATACGATATTCAAAAAGATGATGATCTACATTTTCCATCTTTGCGATAAGGTCTTGAACCTCGGCTGATGCATTCTCGTTCTCATATTGATAATGTAAATCGTTGTCCTCGCTATTAAACTGAATTTGAGCTTGACGGTGAGGGGAGTGCGAGGTGCATCCGATTCGGCTGTCTGGTCTGAAATCCTCTCAAGCTCGACAGAAGTTTCAAAAATGTTCGTAAGAGAAACTGGTATAATCTCAGAGTCGGAGTCTGACGAGAAATCCTCTTTATCGCATGGTAGAGAGTTGATTGTTCTGATCTGTGCATTTAAAAAGTGGTCAAATGATTAAAAAAAGTTTGCTAGCTAAATTTTAGATTATATACTGACCTTAGTTGGCGGAGTTGATAATCCTTCTTCATAACCGTCCGCATTTCGTCTTTTTCTTTCTAATACTTGAATATGCTCATTTAACATATTAGATCTTATTTGACAAGCATTTTGTTCCTAGACGGTTTGCAAAAAATAAGTTAATAACAATAGCTTCACTAAACATATTTATTAAAATGTAGATTAACTGACTTCTTTTTCTTGTAATATGATTTGTGCAATTTGAGTATTAGCTTTCTCTTCGCGAATGCGGAGACCATTCCAAAAGCGTAATGCCTTTATGGAGTTGACAATCTCACCAAAATTGGTGAGCAGTCTTTGAGCTTTTACGGCTTGTTCGCCATTCTCAGATACAATGGCCTCTAACGCGTTGAATAGGGCTTCCTCTGCCTGTTTCTTTTGAATATACGTAAATTCGGTCTTTCTGAAAAACTTAGTGGCATTAAAACCGGTTGATAAAATTTCTTTTAGCACCTCGACATAATCCTGCAGATAAATGGTATAACAAAATGACGGTAATATGTTAAATATCGCGAATTAACTCAATAGCGACTAATATACTGTGTATATAAACCATGATGTTGATCCTAAAAGGACATAATATAAAAAAGAATTAGTAGAAGTTTTTAAATAATGTTTCTGCTTTCTACAGCCCTAACCCAACCCAAAACTTTTTCCAGATAATATAAAGTCGCTAAATGAAAGAAGGACTTTTCATGCATAGAAGATTGAGGACCCAGCCGTGCAAGTCCTGCTATGCTAGCCGTTTTCGCTTCCATACGCAGAGGCAGACGATTCCCCTCAGGTTTTACAGGACGGGAAACCGTTGGATATAAGAACCAAAACTTTACACATCTTTCGAAAGCCGATATGCATCCATTTCGCTTCCATACGCAGAGGCAGACGATTCCCCTCAGGTTTTACAGGACGGGAAACGCTGGGTTTGCAAAGAACACAATGTAAAAGCCATACTTAACTTCTCAAATCAATTTACGTAATTGAATGATGGTCGGTTGTTTCGAAACACCAAGAAAATTGGGCGTTGCACAGATATCTCAGATCATGATTACCTTACGTAATAATCACGGGATTTATCCAACAAATCGGAGAGCAAACTTGTGACCTCGATAAGAAGAGATATTTCGCTATACAGTCAACTTCCGTTAATTCGTCCCCCTTTAATTCGGATTTCCGATAATCTGGACGTTTAACGCCGGACTCTTTTTTTCATATCTGATTCCTTCCTTTTATTCATCCGATACTTATGATATTACGATAATTCGGTTCGGACAGCTGTTACGGATCAACTGTATAAATTAAGTACTGTAAAAGACAGCTTTAATTCGGCCATTGACTATCATTCCTATGTATGGTAAACTAGAATTCCTAATACGGTAAGATTATTCCAACGTTAATTCGGACGCTTATTCAAATTCACTTTCTTTAATTCAGACTCTTAATAAAATCCAACCGTTCAAATTACAAACGAGTTTGATGGATTATCACAGAAGTGATATCACTAAAAAATGTTCCAAACCATATACTCATTTAACTATCATACAAAAGAAGAAAATATGTCAACGTCAAAGAGATAATCCTAATATATCCTATCATAATCTGGCAAATGAGTATGAAATAGAAAAATCAACAATACAAGATATTATTTTTCAGTCAAAAAAATGGTTGGCTATTGACATTAATGAGACATCTACGTATTATCTAAAAAATAAACCCCCAAAATGGCCAAACTTAGAACAAGCATTATGATTATGGATGATGATAATAATTGAAAATAATCTTCTACTAACAGAGGAAGTTATCATTGCTAAAGCTCATATTTATACAGATCATTTGGAGTTAAAGGAAGCGATAGCTTGTTGACCAAATATAAAAAATGGTATAATTTGCATAACATCATATAACATGATGAATCGGCCAACATACCTCTTCGCAAAATTTATTAATAATAAAAGAATACGTTTTCGTACTGAATTAGTATCATATAATCTAAATAATATACATGTATATAATGCTAATGAGATAGAACTTTTTTGAATCATGGAATCTTCAAGAACTTTATCTAATCATAAAATTAGCAGTCATAAAAAAAATAAAAGTAAAGTTTCCATTCTATTAACAATGAATACTTCTGATACTGATAAGTTATTATCAGTATTTATATATAAATACCAAACTTCTTTTTCTCTCTGTCATGTGAATAAAATCTTACTTCTGATATAATATTATTAAAATAGTAAAGCACATATGCAAGCAAGTTTATTAATGATACGTGTATAGGATTACTGTTATTTGTATTAAATCAATTTCAAAATAGATATTTATATTTAATAATTAGTTAATATAGTTTGATCAATGGATGAAATATCTAAACTAACATGTTATTCTCCTCTTAGATAATACAATCATATATAAAATTATTCCTGAAAATGAGTTAACTAATATAATTATTAAGTTTTTATCTCCTAATACTACTTTGATTGTAACAATTTTGATTGGGTTATCTTCCTTTAGATCTCTTTTAGCTTAGATCTTCATTTTGCGCTATCTGTA